TCAGTCAGTACAGTAATTCCTTGGTTCATGCACGCTTCTGTTTATGAACAGTTTACTTTGCGCAGAATCATTTGGCAGAATTTTGCTTCTGTTTGTGAACCCTGTATTGGCTTTTGAATGTGACCTTGGCTGTTTTCCCCACTCTGGCACGTGGCCATGACTTCCTTTAATCATGATTGTGGTTGCAAACAGACCTGTGCAAACTTGCTGTGTAGCTTTTTTGCTGTGCATTTTAATCACATATGGTACTCGACAGTATTGTTCAATCCTGAGTGGCTCCAGAGAACATAGAGAGCAAATGTGGTGGTAAAAAGAAAATGCATTGCAGTAATAAAGGAGACAAAAATGTGAAGAGTAGTAGTGAAGGTAACTAGAATTTGCAGAGTGGTAATGAGGATGAAAGAACGTGAAAAGCAATAATGAAGGTAACAAAGTGCAGAGCAAGAATAGCAAGATGATTTTGAAGGAAACAGTCATTGAATGGAAGGAAATGTAGACAAGTGTGAGCATGGTATTTGTGTGACTGATCTGGCCTCACAGTACAAAATGGTGAAGTCAACAATATCAACTACAGTATTTTAAAAGAGTAAAGATGCAATCAGAGGAGCTGGCTGACCTAGCAAAAGGAGCTAATCAAGCAGAGGAGTTAACCAAGTGCTGGAAGAGGTGGAAAAACTTATTGGTGTGGGTGCATTAGACACAGATGGCCAGTGATAGCGTTAGTGAAGCTATAATCTGTGAAAAAGCCAGAAAATTGCAGTGGTGTGCTGCAAGAAAATCCCTGTATAAGTTCAACAAGTGATGAATTCCAATCCCATAGACAGTGGTTTGATAAATTCCATAAGAGAAGTGGCATCTATAGTGTGATAAGACATGGTAAGGCTTCTAGCTCTGACAAGGCATTGCAGAAGCCTGCAAGAAAGAACTTGCAGAATTCATGAAGGCAGAAGGATGCGTCACTCAACAGATCTTCAACTGGTGAACAGAGCTCTTCTGGAGGAAGATACTGAACAGAGCCAGTATCATGCAGGCAGAAAAGCCACTATGGGGGAGACAAGCCCATGAAGGACAGATTGACCGTTTCGCTGTCTGCAGATGCGTAAGCAGTGATTAGAAAATTAAGCCACTAGTGCTGTATAATTCCCAGACCCCTTGTACATTCAGGGAATGGAGTAAAGCTAGACTACCTGTCTTGTGAGGACCTTTGGGTCACAAGGCAGTTGTTCATGGAATGGCTGCACCAGGTGCTTGACCTGTAATAGAATTATGCCTTTTTCTATCTTTTTAGAATTATGTATTTACTTTTAATTGACACCAAAGAATTGTGTACTTATGAGGTACAATGTGATATTTCAGTACGTATGTATATAGGTATTTATAGTGCCTAGATCAGTAATTGAATGTCTTTCTTTTTCCATTACTTTTTCTTTCTTTTTTTTTTTTTTTTTTTTGGTATGTAGGACAGGGTGTACAGGGTCTCATTGTGTAAATGGGACTCCTAGTGATCCTTATATTTACAACCTCCCAAGTGCTGGGATTAAAGGGGTGCGCTACCATGCCCAGTCTCATTGCTTGTCTCAGTGCACCCCGGGTGCGGGGCTGGCACAGCATGTCCAGGGACCGAACTCTCAGCCCCTGCGTCTGCCTAAGTAGGCACTTTAATCCACTGAGCTGTTTGGCTGGCCCTCCATTACTTTTTGCTTTCTACAAAGTAATAGTTCTAAAGCAACCCCTTAGTCCAGGAATGGTAGTGCACACTTGTACAATCCAGAACTCTGGGAGACAGGGTAGGAGGAGTGCAGGTTAGTGCCCAACCTAAGTAAAGGTGGGCGTGGGCGTGCGGGCAGGAGGGGGCAGAGGTAGCTCAGTGCAAAGGCCCTGCTGCGTTCATTCTCCAGTACTTTTCTCCACCTCTAGCAGTATCTTCTAGGAAGTAGTTTTTGATTAGATCATTGTTTTATTTATGTGGTCTAAATATGGTTTTGAGGGTCTCTTATATACTTTTTATTTTTTTTTTAAAAAAAACAAGGTCATTTCATATAATTTTATATATAAAAGATTCTTAGGAAAAGAAACACATGTGCAGAGTTCCCAGAGTACCAGAGAGGTGGCCCCTCGCACTTCCTTTCTGCAGAGGATGGGAAATGTGATTCCATTCTGTTCTTAACTGTTTCCACCTATGCAGTCAGTTTTTCAAGTAAAGTTTCTATTCCTTTGCTGGTATTTTTGTTTTTCTCCAATGTGGGAATCAGGCTTTTTAGTCCATCTTTGACTTTATTTGCAACTTCTTGGTCACTACTCTGCAAAAGGCTGGAAAGAATAATAGCACCCCGATTTACACTGGCCCAGGACTTCAGGTTCTTCATGCCAGCATGCTCTACGAGGGTTTTCGCAAAACAACCTTCTCTTCCATCTTCTTTCATCTTTTCATCTTGCTCATTTCAAAACGAGATGTCCTGCAGGATGTTCCACAACATGAAGCTTTCCATCCTGGCCCCCAGGGTGCAGTTCCGCTGCAGCCAGGCTGGCGATGGCATTCATGGCAGGCTGGGGGTCTCCAGTGGCAGATCCCAGGATGTCAGATACCAGCACACACGCAGATTTATTGAGCACCATCTCTTGAGCATTTCTTTGTAGGTAGTTTAATAAAGCTGGAGAGACAGATTCTAAGAGCTCACGCCGGCGGATCTCTGTGTCTTTCTTACTGTGTGCATTTCCATCTCCTTTTTGCAGAACTTCAATGATCTCTCGTACTGTATGTGCAGGGTCTCTGGGGCTCAGTAAATACAACAAGACCTTCCTTCCATATTTGTCTTTTACTATGTTAGACAAGGAACTGATAATTTCTGATATGATTATCTGCTTCACAAGCTTAGTATCATCAATACAATCAAATGCCGCCAGCAAAACCAAATGAGAGTAGTGGCCGTTAGCCACTTTTTCAACATATGTCTTCATTGTTTTTTTTTTTTTAAGTCTTTTTTTTTTT